GCGCATTTTTGGTCAGTTTGACGGTAGAACCTTCCACATAATCTTCAACAGTTTTATTTGTCCCCATTTAGAGTACGGAAACACAGTATTTCCTCCTCTCTCCAAAAGGATAAGGACACTCTGGAACGTATCCAACGTTGAGCCACGAAATCAGTTCGGGGACTCAAATTCAAACCTTATGAAGAGCGCCTCCAATCACTTAACCTTTACCGTTAGAGCATAGGAGTCTTAGAGGTGACTTTCTTATGTCATACAGTATCCTTAACACTTTTGGTCATCCCCTTAAACATCTACTTAAGCTTAGTCACAATGCTAACCTAAGAGGTAACATCCAGAAACTGGAGACCCAACATAGCAGAACAGACTGTAGACACAACTTCTACTCCGTAAGAGTTGTCAAATGATGGAATTCGCTGCTGACTGAGCTAGTGCAAGCGACTTCACAGGAGTCCTTTAAGAAGAAACTCGACTTATTCTTAAGGACTAAGGATAACATATTATTTTGATTTACCAAATTCTTTTTCTCCTCTATTATCGTTAAGATACTTAGGTTCTTGCCTGGAGGTATTGACGATCCACTGCTACTAGACTCGGAAGCCCTTTAAGCGAAAGCTTCTTCTATTCCGTCCTCAACCATTTGAAGCATTTGACTTTCCCATCGAATCATCGATGAGTGGAATTCATTTCATCAGAACGTGGTTGAGGCTCCATCCATCGACTATTTCAAAGGTTGAATCAACTGAGAGACCATCATTGCCAGAACTAACACAGGTCATCAAGCCTCTTGTCCTTTCCAAACTGAAACTGAAACCTGGAACTGATTGAATATTTTACTGATGCTACTTCGAAAGGTGAGGTACATAAGTTGATGGTGTTATAACTGGGTGTAGAACTTCAACTCAGTCGGTCACCATTCTGAACTTTAAATGTAAGCTATTCCGGTTAACCTCATTTAGATTTGTCTCATGCTAAATTTTCGTAAGTACATATTCCTACATTGTTATATCTACGGTCGTCTGACCATACCACTTCATATGGAGTGATGAACATATGTTCACCAGTTAATTTGTTTCACAAGCTAAAATTGGGAAATATCTTTAAATATTAAGTAAAAGGTATTTGGAACCGAAAGTTGTTTACCTTCTTCAGCTCGTATTTTGCGAAGTTGTCCTCTGATTGCTCTAAAAGAAGGTAGGACGATTGCTTCAGTCCTGTAGGCACCAAAGTGGATAACTCAAATTTTAACTCCTCGGTCACTACTGTTATTAACAAAGTCTTCTTCTAGTCACTTAGTCTCTGGAAAATTCACAAGAACTCATATCTCTCCGTCACCAAGAATGCACTTCAACTACACAGTTTGACAGTAAGCTTGATCTCACACCCCCTTATGCAAATTTGTTGACTTATCATTATTTAAAACATAAGGACCTAGCTACGGAAAAACTGCTGAATTATATAATGCATCTTTCAATGACGGACACTACGACAAAACTTCTCGGTCTACAGAGTCAAATGCCGCTTTTAGGTCAAGAAAAACTATCATTGTCGGACGCTAATAAGCATGCTTGTGTTCCAAAACCTGACAAATAGTAAATATGTGGTCAATGCAGCCACGACCATGTTTGAAGCCAGCCTGATTTTCTCGTGTTTGCAGTTCGTGAGTCTGTTAAGCGTCCGATAATTATTGAAGCTATTATTTTAGATGCTATATTAGTCAAACTATTGGGACATTCAGTGATTGCGAGCAATCAGATGAAATTACGTTCGATTTCTAGGTTTTGGCTAAAATATTAGTCAACCTAATCACTAAAATTTGACCACCATACTTAAAGACCTCTAGAGCTAATCCATCTGGACCAGCTGCTCTTCCTCGTTTCAGATTAGCTATAGCTTTTTGAAATTCAACTGAAGTCAGGGAACCTACTTCAATGTTCCGTTCAGGCTGTTTGGAAATGGTGGGTAGATGTAGAGCAGCTGAACTGTCCCTTAAAGTGTTCCGCCTATCGTTCTGAACGTCTGGGCCAAGTGCAGATTAGTGTCATCCTTTTCCGAGATTGTCTCACACTTCACTTCTTAACTACGGTTTCTTCTGATAGTCTGAAAAGCTATCTTGTGTTATCTACAGCCGCTACCTTTTCCATCTCTTTTGCATTTGTTGCCCACTACTACTCACGATCGTTCCTCAGACTCTCGGTCAACCTAGATCTGATTTGTTTTCGCTCGTCATCGTGTTCGGAGCCTGATGGGATATATTTACAATAATCTCTTGGTGGAATAGGTATAGCAGAAATACACTGGTTTTTCGCAACCCTTTGATTCATATCACCAGTAGATGTCTCAGCTGTTTTCATAGCTGTTCGTATATCTTTCAAGGCAACATCTAGGTCAGCCTTGTTTTCGAAATTACCCAAATGCAACTTCAGTTGTTCTCGGAATCTATTTCTGGCTTTCTCGTCACTGAGTTCAACTCTAATGGGTCTTAATGTGGCTTTTCTTTGTTTAGTGAGGCTTAAGCGAATGTATACTTGTATTAGAGCATAATCAGAGTCTAAACATGTTCTCCAGAACGAGCGGCGGTCTTTTACCAGTTACTGATGGCAATATGGTTTATTTGAGTCTATCGTTGATTTGGCACAGGGGGTTGCAGCCATGTTAGATGATGTCTCTCCTTATGCTTAAATTAGTGATTGTTAGAAACAAACGATTATCTGAAGACATTTGCAACAGACCGTCACCATTATCTGTTAGCTGGGTGGGAATACCAAGTTGCGCTTCTAAATGCCTTTTTATTCGGTTTGGGCTACCTACTTGGGTATGAAAGTCATCTGAGACGGGTACTATATCTGAGCGTCTAGCCTTTTGAAGAAGTTCAGAAAACTTTCTGTAAAATTCATCTTTCACTTCTTTCGGAGCGCAGGCAAAAATAACGAAAAAGCAACAACGTATATTCCTATGTTTCCGTCCGTTCAAACAACACATAGGTGACTGTTAACAGGGATTCATCTCAAAGGTGTTTCTTCTGCCCTCATACTCAGTGCTATGCCTACACTCGCCAGTCCACGAGAACTTGCCGTCGAGTCGCCAGGTAAACGGAGGGTATATGTCGTTGGCTATCCATTTTAGCTAGGTGAAGTTAAGTGAGTGACCACACTAAGATCTTCTGTGTCTTTTGGAGACACAACATACATCAATAATACGTGATTTTACGGTCTTAGCTGAGGAGACCTGCTGGCCGATTTGACTTAGGGTACATGCGTTGAAGGCTCCAATGTTTAGTTTTGAGCGAGGTTTCAGTAGACTTGGGACAGCATTTCGCGCACTAGAATCATTGGCCATGGTGACACTTGAGGAGGAAGTTTATGGTTGATAGTCGAGATAGGAGAAATAATAGGAACCGAAGATGGAAATTCATTATGAATACGGTGGTCTTCAGTGCCGTTAGAGGTATGAGAGTGGTTATCACTTCCCGGTTGCTTACACCGTGGAAGGGTTCTTCTAGAGGTACATGGAAAGGAAATTGGGTTAGAGTTGCTCGTAGTGACCAGAGGGCGTAACCGCAGTGCCCAACGGACAACTGTTTGAGGCCGGTCACACACGATCATTTTGTGTTAGCTCTGTACTTGTTGAGACCTTACTGCCGGAGACGGATATCCGTGGGATAAGACGAGGTATGCATTTTAGGGTCGACCTTTTCTAACCCCACTCCTCCTTGTGGGAAGGCAGCACCGCTGTTACGCTGGTTGTCTGAGGGGAACAACTTACTGCCGTCACACCTCTACAGTCAGCAGTATCACTTCGACCTCGGATTTGCTGCTTTTAGTCTTACCGTTCTTCAACCGATCCGCTTGGCATGGTAGGACCCTGAGGAACGATTGTCTCCGCCAGTATAGCCGGATTGGTCCATCACGACAAAGTCTACTAAGAGACAGTAGAGATTTAAAAAAGTGATATCTATACTTCTGGGACTTTTGATATGGAGTTTAGATTCTTGCATCATAACTGATGTCAGTTCGTCATCAATACTCTTACACTTATTATTAATTCCTAACCCTGAGTTCATAGATTCCTCGTTACTCTGAGTCTCTTTAGACGTATACTATTGGCTCAGTGGTATAGCTTTCCTGTACTTTAATTTTTTTGGATATCTTCATTCATAATGATGGTTACCTTGTCACATCACTAATATTTCAATATTACCTGTATAACTTATAGGTTAATATAGCGCCTAGCTATAATTAAACAATATCAGGAAGTATTTCACTCAACGTGGTGGTTGGAGGTGGTCAACAGGAAACCCTGGACCCGGGTTTCGTGCTACTTGGCACTCATCAGCAATGTTTACCTGTAATCTTGAGGGAACTGATGCCTTCTGGCGGATTCGATCCCGTGTCACTCAGCTTCACAGTCAGAGACATTGCCACTGAGCTATTCGGGCCGCGACCGACCTCCTGTAGAACTGAGATCTAATCACAATTGATTGATCACTGGGTGGTGATCAATCTCATGCGTGTCAAGTCCTTAGTGCTGATCGATTGCTATCGATCAAGTTGACCACCTCCGACCACCATGTTATCTTAATATATATAGTGCACGCAGTGTCGAGCCACCTAGACTGGTGACCACATTGCAACTTGATCGATAGCATTCGATCAGCACTAAGGACTTGACAAGCATGAGATTGATCACCACCAAGTGATCAATCAATTGTGTGTATTTCATTCAATTTTTCCTCTAAATGACCCATTGGAGATACATAGCCAATTCGTCTTGAGAAGCAGGCACACAGACTCATGTGTGACTCTATTTGTATCTTTTTATTCTCATTACTGACCGTCATACAACGTAACACGGCCCACTAATTTACTTGTGATTACTATTTCATTTATTCACTTTATTTTGAGATGCCCTCGTCTGAAAATAACTATCCAGGAGCTGCTAGTCTAATTCAGGATATTGGAAGTTCGTTGTGATTGGTGGCCCAACGATCTTTTGTAGAAAGAATGGCGATTATTGTACGAGGAGGTCGGGTGTTTATTGGATTTCTTCGAATAATTGACCAGTTTGGTAAGACATCACATCTAATTTATATATTGATAGGCAATGTCGTCCTTCATAATGCTGTGGAACGTATTCATGTTGAGAAAAAATTCTGTGACGTTCCCCAGGGGATACTTTTGATCAGAGGTGAAAATATTACAGTCATTGGAGAACTGGTGAGATAAGAAACTTTGTAAAAGATATATATATATATATATATATATATATATATATTCGAACTGCCTTATTTTCTAGTCGAGGAACGGCTAGGGACTAAGAAATTCCAATAATATAATATTGATAAGATTTCTTGACTTCTGGGCGTTCTCCAATTGATAAATAAAGTAGTTTCAAGTTAATCAAAACAGACCGTTGCTGCTACCTCGACGTGGTGGTCGGGCTTGCCTATCGTGATGAAGCAATCGAGCTATGCTGGCTGGAACAATCGTTCCTCAAGGTCCTACCATGCCAGGCAGATCGTTTGAAGAACGGTGAGACTAAAAGCAGCGAACCCAAGGTCCGAAGTCGTACTGCTGACTGCACAGAGGTGTGACGGCAGTAAGGTGTTTCCTTCAGACAACCAGCATGACAGCGATGCTGCCTTCCCACAAGGAGGGGTGGGGTTAGAAAAGGTCGACCCTAAAAATGCACACCTCGCCTTATCCCACGGATATCCGTCTCCGGCGGTAAGGTCCTTTAAAGAACGGAGCTAACACAAAAACTACCCACGAAAGGGTCGTGTGTGACTGACCTCAAGCAGTTGTCCCTTGGGCACTGCGGTCACGCTTTCAGGTCATTAAGACCACTTCTAACCCAATTTCCTATTCAGGTACCTCTAGAAGAACCCTTCCACGGTGTGGGCAACTGGGAAGTGATAACTGCCCTCATACCTCTAACGGCACTGAAGACCACCGTATTCATAATCAATCTCCTTCAATTCCTACTATTCCTTCTACCTTGACTTTCAACACTAAACTTCCTCTTTCGGTTTCCTCCTCAAGTGTCACCATGGCCAACGATTCTAGTGCGCGAAACGCTGTCCCAGGTCTACTTAAACCTCGCTCCAAACTACACATTGGAGCCTTCAACGTACGTACCCTAAGTCAAATCGGTCAACAGGCCTCCTTAGCTAAAACCCTAGAATCTCGTACCATTGATGTATGCTGTGTCTCCGAAACACGCATACAGGATCCCAGTGTGGTCATTCACTTGACCTCACCTCGCCAAAATGGACAGCCAACGAAATACACCCTCCGTGTATCTGGTGACCCGTTGACTAGTTCTTGCAGGTGTAGGCATAGCACTAAGTACAAGGGAACTGGAACTGAGTAATAATTCCAGGATGTTTGGGATGCGTTTCTCCCCATCCAAATGTAAATTGTTGCTCCAGGACTGGCCTGCGTCAACACCCGAACTAAGGATAGTAAATGAAGTAGTCGAAGGCGTGGACAACTTCACTTATCTTGGAAGTTTGGTCAGCCTTAATGGGTTCAGTCAGTCAGTCAGTCACAACGCAGAACTTCGTACGTACGTACATCAGTTCGAGTTGCCATACCACATTAGCACAGAGATGCAGTTGTCGATTCAAATCCCATAGTGGTAGAAGTAGTAGGAGTATAATCAGAAATCCAAAAGATTAGGGTTTTAAGAAATTATTGAAGGAGTCCCGACCGTTGCTGCTACCTTGACGTGGTGGTCGGGCTTGCCTATCGTGATGAAGCAATCGAGCTATGCTGGCTGGAACAATCGTTCCTCAAGGTCCTACCATGCCAGACAGGTCGGTTGAAGAACGGTGAGACTGAAAGCAGCAAACCCAAGGTCCGAAGGCGAAGTCGTACTGTCGACTGTACAGAGGTGTGACGGCAGTAAGGTGTTTCCTTCAGACAACCAGCATGACAGCGATGCTGCCTTCCCACAAGGAGGGGTGGGGTTAGAAAAGGTCGACCCTAAAAATGCACACCTCGCCTTATCCCACGGATATCCGTCTCCGGCGGTAAGGTCCTTTAAAGAACGGAGCTAACACAAAAACTACCCACGAAAGGGTCGTGTGTGACTGACCTCAAGCAGTTGTCCCTTGGGCACTGCGGTCACGCTTTCAGGTCATTAAGACCACTTCTAACCCAATTTCCTATTCAGGTACCTCTAGAAGAACCCTTCCACGGTGTGGGCAACTGGGAAGTGATAACTGCCCTCATACCTCTAACGGCACTGAAGACCACCGTATTCATAATCAATCTCCTTCAATTCCTACTATTCCTTCTACCTTGACTTTCAACACTAAACTTCCTCTTTCGGTTTCCTCCTCAAGTGTCACCATGGCCAACGATTCTAGTGCGCGAAACGCTGTCCCAGGTCTACTTAAACCTCGCTCCAAACTACACATTGGAGCCTTCAACGTACGTACCCTAAGTCAAATCGGTCAACAGGCCTCCTTAGCTAAAACCCTAGAATCTCGTACCATTGATGTATGCTGTGTCTCCGAAACACGCATACAGGATCCCAGTGTGGTCATTCACTTGACCTCACCTCGCCAAAATGGACAGCCAACGAAATACACCCTCCGTGTATCTGGTGACCCGTTGACTAGTTCTTGCAGGTGTAGGCATAGCACTAAGTACAAGGGAACTGGAACTGAGTAATAATTCCAGGATGTTTGGGATGCGTTTCTCCCCATCCAAATGTAAATTGTTGCTCCAGGACTGGCCTGCGTCAACACCCGAACTAAGGATAGTAAATGAAGTAGTCGAAGGCGTGGACAACTTCACTTATCTTGGAAGTTTGGTCAGCCTTAATGGGTTCAGTCAGTCAGTCAGTCACAACGCAGAACTTCGTACGTACGTACATCAGTTCGAGTTGCCATACCACATTAGCACAGAGATGCAGTTGTCGATTCAAATCCCATAGTGGTAGAAGTAGTAGGAGTATAATCAGAAATCCAAAAGATTAGGGTTTTAAGAAATTATTGAAGGAGTCCCGACCGTTGCTGCTACCTTGACGTGGTGGTCGGGCTTGCCTATCGTGATGAAGCAATCGAGCTATGCTGGCTGGAACAATCGTTCCTCAAGGTCCTACCATGCCAGACAGGTCGGTTGAAGAACGGTGAGACTGAAAGCAGCAAACCCAAGGTCCGAAGGCGAAGTCGTACTGTCGACTGTACAGAGGTGTGACGGCAGTAAGGTGTTTCCTTCAGACAACCAGCATGACAGCGATGCTGCCTTCCCACAAGGAGGGGTGGGGTTAGAAAAGGTCGACCCTAAAAATGCACACCTCGCCTTATCCCACGGATATCCGTCTCCGGCGGTAAGGTCCTTTAAAGAACGGAGCTAACACAAAAACTACCCACGAAAGGGTCGTGTGTGACTGACCTCAAGCAGTTGTCCCTTGGGCACTGCGGTCACGCTTTCAGGTCATTAAGACCACTTCTAACCCAATTTCCTATTCAGGTACCTCTAGAAGAACCCTTCCACGGTGTGGGCAACTGGGAAGTGATAACTGCCCTCATACCTCTAACGGCACTGAAGACCACCGTATTCATAATCAATCTCCTTCAATTCCTACTATTCCTTCTACCTTGACTTTCAACACTAAACTTCCTCTTTCGGTTTCCTCCTCAAGTGTCACCATGGCCAACGATTCTAGTGCGCGAAACGCTGTCCCAGGTCTACTTAAACCTCGCTCCAAACTACACATTGGAGCCTTCAACGTACGTACCCTAAGTCAAATCGGTCAACAGGCCTCCTTAGCTAAAACCCTAGAATCTCGTACCATTGATGTATGCTGTGTCTCCGAAACACGCATACAGGATCCCAGTGTGGTCATTCACTTGACCTCACCTCGCCAAAATGGACAGCCAACGAAATACACCCTCCGTGTATCTGGTGACCCGTTGACTAGTTCTTGCAGGTGTAGGCATAGCACTAAGTACAAGGGAACTGGAACTGAGTAATAATTCCAGGATGTTTGGGATGCGTTTCTCCCCATCCAAATGTAAATTGTTGCTCCAGGACTGGCCTGCGTCAACACCCGAACTAAGGATAGTAAATGAAGTAGTCGAAGGCGTGGACAACTTCACTTATCTTGGAAGTTTGGTCAGCCTTAATGGGTTCAGTCAGTCAGTCAGTCACAACGCAGAACTTCGTACGTACGTACATCAGTTCGAGTTGCCATACCACATTAGCACAGAGATGCAGTTGTCGATTCAAATCCCATAGTGGTAGAAGTAGTAGGAGTATAATCAGAAATCCAAAAGATTAGGGTTTTAAGAAATTATTGAAGGAGTCCCGACCGTTGCTGCTACCTTGACGTGGTGGTCGGGCTTGCCTATCGTGATGAAGCAATCGAGCTATGCTGGCTGGAACAATCGTTCCTCAAGGTCCTACCATGCCAGACAGGTCGGTTGAAGAACGGTGAGACTGAAAGCAGCAAACCCAAGGTCCGAAGGCGAAGTCGTACTGTCGACTGTACAGAGGTGTGACGGCAGTAAGGTGTTTCCTTCAGACAACCAGCATGACAGCGATGCTGCCTTCCCACAAGGAGGGGTGGGGTTAGAAAAGGTCGACCCTAAAAATGCACACCTCGCCTTATCCCACGGATATCCGTCTCCGGCGGTAAGGTCCTTTAAAGAACGGAGCTAACACAAAAACTACCCACGAAAGGGTCGTGTGTGACTGACCTCAAGCAGTTGTCCCTTGGGCACTGCGGTCACGCTTTCAGGTCATTAAGACCACTTCTAACCCAATTTCCTATTCAGGTACCTCTAGAAGAACCCTTCCACGGTGTGGGCAACTGGGAAGTGATAACTGCCCTCATACCTCTAACGGCACTGAAGACCACCGTATTCATAATCAATCTCCTTCAATTCCTACTATTCCTTCTACCTTGACTTTCAACACTAAACTTCCTCTTTCGGTTTCCTCCTCAAGTGTCACCATGGCCAACGATTCTAGTGCGCGAAACGCTGTCCCAGGTCTACTTAAACCTCGCTCCAAACTACACATTGGAGCCTTCAACGTACGTACCCTAAGTCAAATCGGTCAACAGGCCTCCTTAGCTAAAACCCTAGAATCTCGTACCATTGATGTATGCTGTGTCTCCGAAACACGCATACAGGATCCCAGTGTGGTCATTCACTTGACCTCACCTCGCCAAAATGGACAGCCAACGAAATACACCCTCCGTGTATCTGGTGACCCGTTGACTAGTTCTTGCAGGTGTAGGCATAGCACTAAGTACAAGGGCAGAACAGGCACTATTAGAATGGATCCCCGTTAACAGTCGCCTGTGTGCTGTCCGGCTGAATGGTTCCGTAAGAACTCGGAAGGATAGGGACACACGTCGTTGCCTTTTCGTCGTTTCTGCCTACGCTCCCACCGACTGCAACCATGATGAAGTGAAAGATGACTTTTACAGAAAGCTCTCTGAGCTTCTTCAGAAAGCTAAGCGCTCAGACATAGTAGTCGTAGCGGGTGACTTTAATGCCCAGGTAGGCAGCTTGAATCAAACAGAAAGACATTTAGGTGGGTGTTTTAGTATTCCGGCTCAACGAACCGATAATGGTGATCGTCTGTTGCAACTATGCTCAGACAATCGTTTATTTCTAGCAATCACTAATTTTAAACATAAGGAGAGACATCGTCTAACATGGCGACCACCTGCACTAAACCAACGATGGACTCAAATAGACAATATTGTCATCAGTCATCGTTGGAGAGGCTCAATAGAAGATTGTCGCTCGTATTGGAATACTTGTTTAGACTCTGATCACGCTTTAATACGAGCACGCATTTGTCTGCGCCTCAATGGACGCAGGAAAAGTACACTAAGAAGACCCATTAGGATTGAACTGGAGGACGAGAAAGCCAAATGCGAATTCCAGAAACAACTGAGTTCACATCTAGGCAGTTCTGTAAACAAGAGTGACCCATATGCTGCTTGGAAAGACATACGAACAGCTGTGGAAACAGCAGTTACATCTATTAGTCATTTAAACCATAGGGCTCCAAAGAACCAATGGATTTCTTCTAAGTCTATTTCACTGATGGATTCGCGTAAACTCATCCCATCAGGCTCTGAACATGACGAAGAGCGTAAAGAAATTAGATCTAGGTTAACTAAAAGTCTAAGGAACGATCGTGAGCAGTGGTGGGCAACGAAAGCAAAAGAGATGGAAAAGGCAGCGGCTGTAGGCAACACCAGGCAACTATTCAGACTAATAAAAGAAACCGGAATTAAGAAGTCAAGTGTAAGTCAGACAATCTCCGAAAAAGACGGAACCCTTATCTGCTCTCAACCCAAACGTTTAGAACGATGGGCGGAACACTTTAGCTGGCCTTCGGCTACTGCACAACTACCCACTATTCCTAGAAAACCTGAATGGAACATTGAAGTAGGCCCCCCGACCCTACTTGAAGTTCAAAAGGCTATAGGTAATCTGAAACGAGGAAGAGCAGCTGGTCCAGATGGATTGGCTCCAGAGGTCTTTAAATATGGTGGTCCGATTTTAGCGATTAGGTTGACTAATATTCTGGCTAAAATTTGGGAGACGGATGTAATCCCATCCGACTGGTCACAATCACTGATTGTCCCAATATATAAAAAGGTGTCAAAATTATCCTGCGATAACCATAGAGGGATTAGTCTGACCAACATAGCATCTAAAATACTAGCCTCAATAATTATCGGGCGCCTAACTAAGACTCGTGAACTGCAAACACGAGAAAATCAGGCTGGCTTCAGACCTGGTCGTGGCTGTATCGACCACATATTCGCCATTCGTCAAGTTTTAGAGCACAGACACGCTTATCGGCGTCCGACAATGATAGTTTTTCTTGACTTGAAAGCAGCATTTGACTCTGTATACCGAGAGGTTCTGTGGCAGTGTCTGTCATTGAAAGGTGTACCTGAGAAGTACATAAACCTTGTGAAGGCTCTTTACTCGAACACTACCAGTCGAGTGAGAGCTTATGGCGAACTGTCATGTGATTTTACAACCTCAAGTGGTGTCCGTCAAGGCTGTCCACTATCCCCATTTTTGTTTAACTTCATTATAGACCTGTTGCTGGAAATAACACTCTCTTCGACTGAATTTACAGGAATTGATCTCCTACCAGGGGGACCACTAAGCGGCTTAGAATACGCAGATGACATAGTCCTGTTTGGTGAAGACGCTGACAAAATGCAGAGTCTTCTGTTGGAACTGAGTAATAATGCCAGGATGTTTGGGATGCGATTCTCCCCATCCAAATGTAAATTGTTACTCCAGGACTGGCCTGCATCAACACCTGAACTAAGGATAGGGAGTGAAGTAGTCGAAGGCGTTGACAACTTCACTTATCTTGGAAGTCTGATCAGCCCTAATGGGTTGGTGTCTGACGAAATCTCAGCACGGATTCGAAAAGCTCGTTTGGCTTTTGCCAACTTACGTCACCTATGGCGAAGACGAGATATCCGTCTATCAATTAAAGGACGAGTATACTGCGCAGCAGTTCGCTCTGTTCTACTTTGCGGTTGTGAAACATGGCTATTAAGAGTAGAAGATACTCGTGGGTTACTAGTATTTGACCACAGATGCCTTAGAAATATTGCACGCATCTGCTGGGATCACCGGGTAAGTAATAGTGAGGTTAGACGCAGGGTATTAGGGAACGATGGTAAATCAGTTGATGAGGTCATGAATCTTCATCAACTGAGATGGTTGGGCCACGTGTTACGTATGCCTGAACACCGATTACCACGACGCGCTATGATGACTAGTGTAGGGGATTGTTGGAAGAGAGTTAGGGGCGGCCAAACCAAAACATGGCATCAGTGTTTGAAGTCACTAACTTCTAGTCTGAGCCATGTTGGTAGATGCAGACTACCTGGTTGGGGTCCGCGTGACTATCGTAACCAATGGTTGGAGACTCTAGGTGACATGGCTCAGAATCGATCACAATGGCGTAGGTGTATACACTCTTTACCTTCCCTTAAACCTTGAGATTAAAATTGCTTCATAACTTTCTTCCTTCCTGTACTATCTCCTTATATACAATCTTTCTTTTATATATTACCACCACTAAATTAACTACTATGAATCCGGTGTTGATTTTGTTGTGCTAACGAGGTATGGCAACTTGGACCGATGCATATATGTGCCTGGTTCTACGTTGTAGCTGACTGACTGAATAATACAAATAACCGGTCGTCATTAGATTTTACCATAATATACATAACTGTTTATATGAAAAAATTAAGCCAATCAAGGCAATTTACCAGTCAATAATCACAATTAAATAGGTCGTATAACCATACATAATGGGTAAAAAGTACAAATTGTTAGTAATAATACAAGTAAACTAGTAGCGATAAGAATAACAAAATAATAAAAGTTTTAGTCAATAGTTCGACATAATAAGGTCAAACTTAGATATGTACATTTTAAAATATTAATCAGAAAACTGTCGAAATTACGTAATAAGAGGTGTACAAAGTTACATAGTGAAGAATATAAATAGATGTTCATCCTGTCATGTAATCACACTTCTAGTTCAGATGGACTTTTCGACAAATCCAGTGATTGCCACTAGCCAGACATGATCAAAAACGGTCTTTCACAACTTACTCCACATAAATGGAAATCCTAATTTGTGATAGTAACTTTTTGTTGGAATAAACCCTAATTAATAGGTATAGAAAGTGATCCTCACCCGAATCTCATTCAACAGTTTCTACTGGTCTGTTTGTTAATAATAATAATTTAAGCGGTACCAAAAGACGTTCGTTGGAACTTATTATAATCACTCAAAACAAAGCATCACAGTAACATCGGTTATTGATTTATACAGGTAGAATTCGTCTGTTCAAATTATTGTTAATGTATAGTCTGTAGAATTTTAATCTGGTAAGTTAATAACTTCCCAGAGGTCGATCGCTCACGCATTTATGTAACTGTTTTGATGAAGCCATGTGATAGTTTGGTTAGCTTAAAATGCTGCAAGAATGTCCAGTCACCTGAATATAAATATAGGTAAGAACAGTTACATGCTCTTATTTGTGGCACGTACTCCAAAACTGGTCTATGGTAGTGCCTTGATTAAATTGTGTTGTGGTTTAGATCAGTCGTTGATAGCTTCAACTCGGATGCCCAAAGCCTGCTTGGATCCCGATCTGCTTAACATTCGGTGATAATATCTAATAGGGGATATGTATAGGACGCTACAGCCTGCTGTCACTGACATAAATGTTAGTAGATAATTATCTCTATCAGATTGTCATTAAGTTCTATATCTGAATGAAATATCTCATTTTATCTGATCCCCTTTGGTTAATATGAAGCAGTAGCATAAAGCCAATTACTACTAAACTATCAGCAAGGTGAGCGTCACTGAAAAAGTAAACTCCTATGTAGTATGTTCCAAGCTGCATTTTAAGTGAGGGCTACGAGTACAGCCCAGTCGCTTAAGTTGAGAATTTAAACGATTTGCCCACAGACAGTAAGCAATTCATTTGCCCATTTGTTCACGAAGTGCATTTTTTCCCTAACTTTTCATTCCTTTACAGAATCTGGAAATAAACATCGACGAGAAGCTAGAAAGAGTTTCAGAAGAAGAGATTTATAAGCTCCAGCAAGAACAGACAGCCTCGCGCAAAGAACTAGCCAAGAAGCGAGCTGAACTATTCGCGATACGTGGATTAGGTTTCCCTGACTTAGATATAATGTTTGATGACACATAGTCGTTGCACATTTTTTATCATGCTCATTAAGTTATCGCAAGTTGCATGGTTTATCGATAACGGATAAAAAAACATTGCTTAAATTAACTATATATATGTTTACGAATAATCTCCATATATATACAGAAACTTATGAATTAAAAAGTGTATTTTTCAAATTATTAGTACAGTAGTTTTTGTGACAAAATGACTCCAAGTAACGATATTACCACAATTTGAGATGCTTGCAACAAATCAAATATATCCTTGGGATTGTTATAAATACACTGCTTACAAACATTAGTTAAATTAACTTCCGTGAGGTTTATGTTTACAAAGGTGAATGTTGGTCGGAACGACGGTATTTATAACTTTACCATGTTCAACATCTCATTCCATCAATTTTTGTTAGTAGCCCAATGATGCCCTCTTTGTAGTGCGCCAATAAACACAAACTAGATGTATTTTTACTGATTTCAAGATAGTCACTTGGTACACGGATATGGGATTCGACTAAGGATTTTTGTGCGGTCACTGCTTTGCATTAGTTATGCATCGTGCACTCATCATTGAGTGTCGTCATTTCAGCAAAGTATCTTCACCGTGAGTGGATTGTGTTTGAATTTGGTCAGGACCTATACATTATTTTAATGGCATATATTGCTTTACAGATAAATAAATGTAGACACTAATAGACTGTTGTGTTTAGTCATCGGTAAGTAGAAAATTTAATAACACATTAGTTTTGTAAACTGTGTATTGTAAGATCTTAATGTATAACACAGATACATCTATAAAAAATTACATTGAATTCAATCACAATTCTATGCGAAGCTTAAAAACAATAGATCTGAAGCCGCAGGAAAAATTTGAAAAATCAATTACAGTAAAGTTGTAATCAGATCCCAACTCCCGTAAAATTTGCGTCCAGTTGTTGAAGATTCGGTAGAGCTAATAGTATTTTTCGTCGGTAATTAGAGTCATGTTTTGTACGGTCTGTGCTTAGAAAATAGATTGGGTTGCGCTCCATATACAAAGTTCGTAGCTTTTTTAATACACTTAACTTTCCTAGCTGCTCCCAGTCAGATATCTTATTGTCATTGCACCAAAATTCTTCTAGATTTACCAAATTCGACATGTTTTGAATCTGCGATATGAAGTTGTATGCCAAGTCTAAAATTTGTAACTTTGATAATGTTTCAAGGCCTTCAATTTCTGTTATCCCATTCTCGCTCAGATATAGTTGCTCCAGATTAACGAGACTCGCTAATCCATTTATTTTGGTGAGTCTGTTACCCTATATTATCAATTAAATGGAAGATGAAGACAAATAAAAAACATTAGTCTGACAATCATAGCAATTAAAGGGATACTTGGTGAATCTTGTAATACTGCTTCCTTGTGACGTTATTTTGTAGAAACTGGAGCTTTGCCTTCGGTCAACTAGAACAAGTTTGAGAATTACAAGCTCAGTATACACGATCTAGATAGTTTTATACTCATGGGTGCTCGATTATTGTCCGCTACTGTTATGATAAGGGTTTCCTTAAAAATGAACTTAACCATATAGCTACTACGGATCATATTTTGGAAAAAGTCAGATAAATTGTTTAATTTCGAGTGAGGGCTGTTACTCTTACATTACAATGATCAAGTCGGACAGCACTATTTAGAATGACTGTCTTTTAATTTGTACTATCTCACTAAGGTTGGACAGAACTTCCATTAGTGGCGACTACAAGTGATATGATTTTAACAACAAAGTCAATATTTTGGTCGTAACTTGATACAACATTGAGATAATAGAGGTTTAGTGTCTATTTAGAGAAGGAAAAACGCTACTACGAAAATGTAGCCGATTTTAAATCGTGTCATACAAAGCCCCCTTGAGTTATGACTACAATTAGGGGATTTGCGCTTTTGAACTCAGCGCAAACTAGTAGTCAACATCTCCATGGATGTGTTTCAATATCCCCCACCTCAGCTCTTTCAACCCCCCTCTTATGTAGACAAGCATTAAGAGATAGGGTAGATGGTGGCTAGACACACCAAGTCAGTCATTAAATGCTTGCGGCCCCTAATAGGTTTTCCAACCTTACTCGTTATTACATGAAACAGCGGACTTCGGCGTAGTATAGTCGCCCATGAAAGAAATGGGGCCAGAGGAAATAGGGGAATAATGCGGATGGGAGAGATATTGAGAAGGGTTTAACTGAGGACAAGATTAAGCGCGGTTTAAGTATGTGGGTGACCGACACGTTCTGGTCCATTACTTCTTTCTGTGGAACCTAGAAAAAAGATCAGTGACGGTTTTGTTAAATTGAATGCGAACACGGACCCCAACGGACGAGTAGTTGAATTAGATCACGTATTGTTTTTGTAAATGTTTCTTGATGTGTAAGCTATGCACTTTCAGAGTTTTCTCGTCGGATAACCATAGTAGTAAGAATAGTGTGTCATAGTTAAGGTCAACCCACTGTGAAAGCGGAGGATTTCTAGGGGTCCTGGTTATCTATGAAAAGTACCTTACTACATCAATAGTACGATCTCACTCGCGGATCCTAGATTTACTGCTTTTTGTGCTATCCTCTATCCAACCTGTTTGGAAGTTTTCAGTTTCATTTGTAGAGAATTTTACGAACACATTTTTGTATTTGTGACTTTATCTACTTCACGCCCACCTGTAAGATTGTTTGTTTTGAAAGCTATACTTCAAGTCCAAAATATGTCTTGGTGTATGTAATATGAGCAAATATACTCACCTGAATGCTAAGAATTGTTAGATTAGTCAAGTTATCCAAGTTTTCAATTGCTGGTATTTTGTTTTTGCCACAATAAAGTTGAGTCAGTTTTTTCAATTCATCCAAATTTTCTAACTTTCTTATTTTGTTTGAACCAAGTTCCAACATTTCTAGGTCTTTCAAATTGCTCAGGTTCTCTATTTTTGAGATATGATTGTTTACGAAATAGAGTTTCCGGAGATTACTTAGATTTTCCAAATTTTCGATACGTTTTATCCGGTTAAAGCTCAAATCAAGATTAGTCAGCTTTATGAGACATTCTAAATTTTCAATCTGAAAGGAAGATACATGGAAGTGTTACAAGACTTGTCATAGTGAGGCTTATAATAGCGTTACATGATTGTATTACGGATTATATATTTAACTTGTAACAGTTTGAATCGAAATTAAGTCTGTGTTCATTTTATCCGTTTATGATGACAAACTTTGTAAACATGATGGTGAGGGTGAAGGCAATCAAATAATAGTAAATATGGTGATTGTAATAGTACTGAAGAAACTGGCGGAAAAAGAACGAGTATGTAGAAAACATTCGTCATAAACAACGAAATATCATTTACATTACCTGATAATTAACCCTTAATTTTTGTTGTCTTGTAGATCTTATCAGTCAATAACTTCATTTTGTTTAACCACTTGAAGTCTGACCTGATCAGCTTCAACTTTACCTTACACCCCGTAATAACGTGCGCAGCGGCCGAGGATACGTAAAGTGCTTCAAGCAACTTATTCGTCGAAGGTTTATGAGATCCAGCCGACAAGTGCATTTTGCATTTAACTTTAGCATACCTGAGGATTTATATAAATGACTCAAGGGATTTATAAATGCTCAAAAATGAGTAACATGATCTTAACATTGACCAGTAAAGACTGATTGAATAACAAAGGGTTTGGTAATAGGTTTCGAAAATATAAGGTATATATGCCAACTATCTGCAGTCTTCGGTAACTGTCTCAGACTAATCACATATTGTCGTTTCAGGAATACGATTAGAATATAACATGGGTTCTCGATTGTTAAAATAAGTAGGGTCAAGTACAGATATCCTAATTAGAATTAGGAATACTAGTATGATCTGCGGTTGGAGGTCCTGACTGGAATGGGTTGAAATTGGTCACCCCAAAATAGGGAGACTGGGCAGTGACGTAACTGCTCTAATTAGTTAGCCTTATCTAAACCTTGAGACTAAATATTATTCTAAAATTTTAAATCTGTCTCCTGGTCTTGACTGTTTTTCCCTCACTATATTTTATATATTTAGTCCTCCACCGTGAGTGATGTCATTCCGACTCCAAAATCTTCATCCCGCTGATTTGCAGTGTGGTAACTGGCGACGATACATATGAGTCAGGTCCTACGTTTAGAGATATAACAGGTCTTTTAATCGAATGTTTAATAAGCATACTCATTACTGGTAAATATGCTGATCGTTCCTAGTAGACAAGACACTGCTGTCAAAACCCAGGTTGTCAATCTGACAGCATTGATTTTGGGAAACTACACATTTAAATTCTCAGAAACTCTTTTAGTACAGATCAGAAGAGATTTGTCTAATATTACTTGAATGGGTAGTGACAACGAGTCTCAGTCACCATATTAATTCGATCAACTCAATGATAACAAGGTAAAATATGTTAGTTTGAGGTGTAACTGGTTCTCTGGTAGCACTGACGTATTATTTGTTTGGTAACACTAAGCTAACCACTTTCACGATGGGTTAACACGTATGTGTAACCAGCGAGTGGGAAGACCAGTCCCATGTATAAACTGTTGGGCAACAATATCTTCCTAACCAGCAAGTCAACAGTAATTTCAGAACAATTATATATCGTATACTGTAGACCTATAACACTGTTACAAATTACACTGGAAGAAAAAGGTCACTCAAATTTAGTTGTAAAGTTTACCTTGGTGATTTGGTTATCATAAACGTCCAGATCTTCAAGGGTTTGAGAGATAGGCTCGAAGTTTTCCAACTTCTTCAATAAGTTATTTCGAAGACATAATAGGCGAACATTTAGAAACCGGTCCAGTTTACTGATACATTTGATTCGGCAATGTTCAAGGTATATCTCTTCATCGTCTGCGTTAGGTACATCAACCTCATCAATTTCGAAGGTATCTGACTGTTGCTGATCCGCGACCCCGTCTTGAAGCTGAGGTTTACTCTGGTCATCCATCAGAAAATCACCAAGTGCGTTACAATGAATTTCTATGAC